GGGGGGATAATGCTTTGAGATTCACATTTCCTATCATCTATAGTATTTCAAGCGAAAAGGAGGATGACAATCCAACAGGTTCAGAGGTGTACAGGAACGGGAGTTTCATTAGGAGATAAGGTTTAGAAAGAACCTTCAAGATTGGGAGGTTGTGAAATTTCTTATATCGCATGACAACCAGAATTCTGAGAGGTAGGAGGTGGGGAGTAGTAGTGGATTGTTTTTAATAAAGTCCTATTATAGTAAACTATTGACCAGAGAGGAATCAACATTTCCACATCAAAGGATTAAGATTCCAAAGACTCCAAGAAAGGTGTGTTTATTCACCTTGTTGGCATTTCTTTTTTTTATATATAAAGTAAGTGATTTCAATAGATGGCATGAAGAAGATGCAAGAAGTACATGATTTGGCATTTGAGCTTACAAAAAATATTCCGGCTCCTATACATAATTGGCTAAGCCAGAGTTAAGGAACTAATGAAATCCAAAAGATGATCAATATTGTTGATAGGGTACAGTCTAGACCAACAAAACAAATTGGCAATACACAGAGCCTTTAAAGAACCTATAGGAGTTGAGTTTCCACCAAAACATCTCTTGTTTCTCTCTGTTCAAATGCACCAAAAAATACAAGCAGGGACCATTGACCAGATTTTTCCGATGGCCTTATCAACTCTCCATAAACTCCAGCTCTTATAAGCATCCTTGACTGTGTAAGGGGTGACCCATTTGAGACCAAAAAGGCAAAAAAACATGTACCATATGTCTGAAGCCACCTCACAGTGTAGGAGCAAGTGGCAGGTACTGTCAGTTTTCTTTTGACACCTTGTTGGCATTTCTTCACTTTGTTGGCAGCAACGGGAGCAATTTTAACAGCTGAAAACTTGAGGAATACGATGATTACATATAACGGCTGGTGTTTTATGCGCTAGAGTTCGGATGAAGATGTGGACCATCTTCTTTTACATTGTCAGATAGTATCTCGTTTATGGTGAAAGATTTTTTGATGGTTCAGGCTACAATAGTTGATGCCACGCCAATGAAGGAGGCACTATTCAGCTGGGCTTTAGAAGACAAAGGGCGTAAGATGTAGCTCGACTAGCACTCATTTTGGTTGTATGAAAAGAAAGAAGGAAATATAAGAGTTTTTAAAGGGTAAAAAATAATCTTGTACAATATTTAAGGAATAGCCTCTTGTCCCTCATTTCTTTTAGGTGCATCCATGACATCCCAATTTGCACAAGAAAATTGGGCGTCTTCGCAGAGAATCATATTTCTTCGTAAATTCTCTACTTTTTGGTGAATCACTTGTATACGGGAGTTTTTCTTCCCATCGTCGATAAAATTGTTTTACCTTATTAGAAAAAATAAGGTTCTGGTAATCATTAAATACTATGCAAAAACTTTTATTAAAATTGAACATCAGAGTTCCCCAAAAACTTTTAGAGAAAAGATAAGCATATAGTAGCTTAATAAAAGTCCTTGTTGATGTGCAAATTTCCACTCATGCCGTTGCGACACATAGCAAGATGCATTAGCATGAAAACGGAAGTTATTATGTGCATATGTTTGCAAAATCATTGCGGTGCACAATGACATTAGGAGCATAAAAATATAAACCTTCAGTCATTTACAGTTCAATTTCATGGCTTAACAGCTAGGCTTAAATTTAAGAATACTCCTCGATTAACTCTAAGAATCCATTAGAATTTACATGTGCTAGAAACTTACCTGGAGATGAGCTCTAGCAACCAATTCCGGTTGAAACTTTTGAAACTCGACCACAAATCGTAAAACACCTTCAAAGACTGGATCCATATTGTAGGAACATATGATCTCTAGCTCATGAAGAAGCTTTTGGAAATATTCAACTGCCTGGTAGATGAATTGCAACGTTAATTATTTATTGTACTACTTAGATCAGAGCAAAGTGCTTCTACACTTTTTCAAGCCTTACCTTCTTCCACCTAATTGTCTGGATAGCACGAGGTGGAGTTGGAGCTGACAATCTACTGTTTAAAGTAGAATCAAACCCGATAGGTTGACAACCTGAAGCAGTTGTTTCATTTTCTGTTCCATCTTCCAGTGTTCCTTGTGCAACGGTAGACCTCAAGAATTCTACTGATTCACTCGTGGAATCCAACTCTTGAAAGCAACAAGCAATATGTTTCTTTGCCAATTCCAAGCCTCTGCCTTGTGGTCTCTTCATATTTGTCACAACATGGTACAAGTGCTGGAAACCCGAAGTCAAAAAATATTACGGCCTGATACATACATTTTTTTTTCAAAATGAATAAAAATGCAATAATGTAGAATCACTATGCCTCACTCCTTTTTTCTTTAATCAGTGGTGGGATATACCAGCAAAAGCTCTTACAGTTAGAAGTTGGAGCAGTCGAACACAATTTTATTTGATAACACTTTCTCCATATGATGAAGATAAAAAGACAGCTTGACCTATGACAGAATTCTATTGAAATGACAACACAGAGTAAGACCTTACGAAAACGTAATCGGCATAACAAAGCTTTGCAGAATCCTTCCTCCAAATCAGGGTTATTTTGTAATGGTTCTATATCTGCACAAAAAGAAGCAAGCCATAAGAATGGTTGTCAATGAGATTAGCATTGTTAAAGTTGACTGAGGTTCCTGCAGTTTTCTCCATGAGAAGGATACTTTTTGATCACGTCATGCTTTTGTAACTATGATTTTCAGAAAATATAGAGTCTGTTTTCCTTAAAATGGTTTTGTTCATTAGAAATAAAAGAGCACCGGATTTTGGAGGACCAAACTTATTTTTTAGTAAAAGGAAAAAAGTATCAACAAACAAAAGAACCAAAATAGTTCCTTTTTCTCAAAGTAAAAAAGGAATGGTGAAATACTTTGGACGAGTTTCTATTTTCCTGAAGTCAACTGTAAAATTAGAATTAAAGTTTGTGTTTTCCAAGCATGATGTAAATAATTCTTCCATTTTCTTTGATAAGGTAAAAAGTAAAATCATTCTTCCTTTAGCATCACACCAGCGGAAAAGTACATAGCACAGACCATTATGCACTATCTAGCATAGAATTTATCAGCAACAGGAAATATAGGTTTGACATTTAAAGTATTTTATGCTTAAGGTTGCATAAGAAAATGTTCAATCTCACCATGCTCAATAACTACCTTCTGTAACTCTCTTCCTAGACAATGTAGATTTACAAGCCCGTAGTTGACGAGCAATTGTTTCTTCAACTGCATGTAGCATTGTTAAACATTTGTCATCTCCATCCACCTTTAGAGGAAGGCCATGTGTCATAGTGAAGAGATCTTCTTCCTGACAAAAAGACAATAAGACACAATGATAGTCAACAACAACAAAAAGAATCCGAGCACAAATTACTTGAAGAATGTATATGACTGAGCTTTTTAGTAGAAAATAAAAATCTGTTCAAAGAAAAGGGGTATTAGAATGAGGACTAGATGTCCTTAAACCTAAGACGGAGTTAACTAGACGAGCAACTACCACATAATTGCAGATCAGTAAATGGTATTAAGAAATAGACATTTCATTACATTTTTTTTGGATCAGGAAAGAAATAGACATATTTCATTACACTACATAAAAGAGAGGGAGACAGCCTTTCTATCCCTTGCAGTAATGGAACACTTTTTATATTCTTTTTTTTTTTTTTTTTTTTTT